ATAACTGGGAGCTTTGGAAAATGTACTGGCATTGTAATTTCTGCTTCAGAACTTCCTACTGACATAAGGAATAGGCAATAGAAAAGGGAAGAAGGAATGTGAGGAAACAATGGCAATGGTGTATTGACTTGGTAGAATAAATCTTGCTGAGCACAATATCAAATTATACTACTGCTGGAATGGATTATAAACTATGCATCTAATTTCTCAAATAATGTTTTTAGATTAGACAGCTGACTATTAGGCATTTTCACAAAATAGATGCTGACACTGCTGAAGGAGTGTACTTTAAGAGAAATGCCCGTAAAAGAGGACCTAGCATCTGGTATATTTTTCAGTTTATGCAGACTAAGAAGTGTGTACCTCTACCAATTACAGGTATTTATAACCTCTCACATAAATCACAGCAATCCCCCTGACATTGTGTTCTTTTTCGTTTCTCTCCAGACTTACAATGCCATCCTTGTTCAAGCACAATCCAGCATTAGCATCTACATTTGGGACTGAGATGCTTGCTAAGAGATAACACAGTCATGTAAATCCTGTTGCCTGTGCAGTTATGTGCATAAGTGTCTGGCAATGAACAGCCACCTGCTGCAGCCTCTCATCTTGCATTTGCTACATATGTTCCAGCCTGATCATTGGGGGAGAGGAGATTTAGGAAATAGTTCCTCTTGCCTGTAGAAGAGTGACATTGTCTCATAATAGGCAAAATACCTTCCTTTGAGCTCTAGGACTGCACCTATTCACATTCTTCCTTTAATTAAACTTCAGGAATGTATACATTTTTAGATCAAAATCTAAAAATGTTGATAATTATTAGATTATTGTAACCCCTGCCTCCACCAAACACACAACATGCAAGCCTCTATACTGATTAGAAAGAGTATATAGATTCAGTTGATTAAATGTTAAAAGGACAGTAGGCCTATAATGCTGTGAACTGAGCACACTATAGCTTCTACCTACAAATAATAAACAACAATCAGCACTAAAATGATTGCAACCAGTTGTGGAATTTCACTCTTTCTAATAGACATTTGCTGTTTGCCCCTCCACATCTATCCTAAATAAGTTACTCCATACCTCAGTGCAACTTCGTCTATATGCATGGAGATCAGAAGTTACTGTATGGATTTCTACACTTCCTGTAAAATGGTTTTCCTAAAGTGCATTGAGGGACACCGGAATAGTAGATAATCTTAGACCAATGGGTTATACTCCCACCTTCAGGAGGCTGGGACACTAGCAAACACAAAAACAGCCCTGTATAACTGTGCCTTCAAACATAATGCCTAAATTAAAAGCCAAACACACAGAGGTAGGAACCTTTAAGAACCACCTTTAAGAAAAAGATTTTACAATATGTACAAAAATCTTTCAAT